GTCAACGATATCTTTTTGATTAAATCAATCTTTTCTTTTCCTAGTCTCTGCTGACCCCCTTCCCTTTGCTGGCCTTGCTCCGAGGGCTAGGGTTGGGGATCAGTAGCATTGTCCATGCTGATGAATCAATCAAGGGTGATTAAGGGAGAGGCTTGAGCTCTTCCCTTTGGGCAGTTCCTGGTCACGCCGCTTTTGTGGGGCAGAGGTCAAGGGGGTGATGGCATAGAGGAATTCATAAGGGTTACATACATATCATAGTCATAAAACACAGGCATCACTAATACACAGGCATCTCATAATATCCCATCCCCATCCCCAGCGAAAGTTTATTACAATATTGGATCTTTATTATAACGCAAACTGGAGATCTCATAGTCCTTTGGCAAAGGTGCGTGGAAACTGAGGCTGCTTGCATTTCAAGGCAAGCACCAGAAGGAAGTTCCTAAGCCAGGGATGTGGCAAACAGTTCAGTTCATGAAGCAGAGAGTCAATAAGAAAAAGGCAGGAGCCCAGTGATGGGCGCTGGGTTGGGTAGTAGCAGAGTCCATAGTCCAGTGCATAAGTCAGAGAGTTCACAAAGAGGAGACAGGAACCCAGTTATGTGCGCTGGGTCAGGAAGCAGCAGAATCCATTGTCCGGCCCTTGGCGAACTACAAATACTTGGGGGGGGGGGGAAAGATGCTCGGCATCAAGCTCATCCCGCTCCCTGGAATCGAACCACCAACCTTTCAGTCAGCAAGTTCAACAGCTCAGTGGTTTAACTTGCTGCATCACTGGGGTGTGTGTGTATATATATGTGTGTGTGTGTGGCTGGAGTTACACTTAACTAAAATACCTGTTTGAATTTATGTACAAATTCAACTTTCTGGAAGTGTCCATGGTTGTCATCTGTAATGAAACTTTTACAAAGGGTTTCATTCCAGATATCTGAAGTGCCAGATGACTTTTCCAAAATACCTTCCTTGTTGCTGCTTTGCATCTAAAGGCCCTTCCAGGCAGGCCCTATATCCCAGGATCTGATCCCGGGTTTTCTGCTTTAAACTGGATTACATGAGCCTGCACTGCCAGATAATCTGGGATAATCTGGGTTATATGGCTGTGTGGAAGGACCCTGGGTTCTCTGAGTCCACACTGCCGTGTATCCCAGTTCAAGGCAGGTAATGTTGGACTTTATTCAGCTGTATGGAAGGGGCCCCAGACAGGCTCTATATCCTAGGATCAGATCCCAGGTTTTCTGTATATCAGGGCAAAAAATTCCCACAATATCTGCTTTGAACTGGGTTGTCTGAGTCCACACTGCCATATATACTACAGCTCAAAGCAGATAATCTGGATTTTATATAGCAGTTTAGTTGGGGTCTTTGAAAGCACCAAAAGTAACATTTTCAAGGGCTCTGTGGAAGGGCCCTGGATTATCTGCTTCTCTGCTTTCATTCCCCCTGTTTATAAGCCTTCCTAATAGTATTGATAACTTCCTTTGCATTAGTTTTTGGGTGGAGCATAAAAACCCCTAGAGGCCAGCCTTATTTGGTCTATTCGATTTCGTGTATAGAGCTCATTTTCTGGACTCCTCCTTTTTCTTTTCTACAGCAGAGCTACTGTGATTTAGGCTTGAGATTGTCTGGTAATCCTAGGCCCAAGCAATTCAAACAGACATTCTTAGCAGCTGCATTTTTATACCAACAGTCCAATGGACAACAGAAACTTTTGGCAAGCCTAAGATTCACAGGAGAGAAGATCAAGACAGTTTGCAAGCAACACCTTATAAACCATCGCTTTGCACCAGAGACAAAAGACTTTCAAAGATTCCAGAAAGATGACTACAACCAGCAAATGTATTGTTTTAAGTTATCTTATGATAGTCCCGAGTGGAGATAACTCTTTATTCACCCTGTTTTCAGTAAACTCTTTTGGTTATCTTTTCACTTTGCCTACAGTGCCTCTGTGTTAAAGGGTGTTAATCTTAACAGAAGGTATACAGATGGTCCCTGACTAAAGCCAGACAATATAGTAGAGGGAATGTGGTTTTAAAAAGGGAATTTTCGGAGATGTTCCCAATGCCTATAGGTCATGATTTACTGCCATATTGGCCTATTTCTGCAGTAGGCCTATGTTTACAGAAAATGCTGATTGTTTGCGAAATCAGTGCTCCAGAGAAGAAGTTACTATTCAAGGATAACAGAACTTCCAGACAAAACCAGCTAGCTGGTGGCTAGTTAGAACCCCCAAGTTTCCCAGTCGCTCTGAAGTCATGTTTGCAACAGACTAACAGATAAGATTGATTCATTGAGACAGTCATGGTCAAAGAACAATATAGCTGTGTTATAGTTGTGCCATTGTTAGGATCCCACGTGTGCTATAATGTCAATCAAAATCATAAACCACCAATGAGCAACTGTTTAGCTAGCTTAGACCAATAAAATGATTTGTCTTTGGAAACCAATGAGAATATGTATTCGATTTACTACCAAAGTGATAAAAGCTCTGCAGCCCCATTGGGGTTTGCGACAAACCCTTTGATTGCATTCCTATATGCTTGTTTGTCGTTATTGCTGTGGCCATGCAATAAATAGGGTGGGTTTTTTTTTGCAGTTTAAAAGATTCAACTTCTGTGGTGTCCTTCATTGCCCTCCCTATTGGAAAGGGGGCTCTTGCTTTTTGGGAAATATTTTCGTTTCTTTGCTCCCTACAATAGTTTCTCCAAAGGCTCGGGAGTGCCATCACATCCATACTGCCATATATATTACTTACTTAGGCGATCTCTCATAGTCCGAGGATGATGGTCCTCCAATAGTGAAAGGTTGGTGTTCTGGCGGTAGGTCTGTAGGTGACTGTGGAGCCGTATTCTTGATCTACATCTTCTCCCACAGTGAGGGCATTGGTTTCTAGGTGGAAGGCGGTCCTGGTCTGAGTTGGCTTGATGTGCCTTCCTCTTGGCACGTTTCTCTCTTTCGCTCTCTATTCATGCCTCTTCAAATTCTACAGCACTGCTGGTCACAGCTGACCTCCAGCTGGAGCACTCAAGGGCCAGGGCTTCCTATTCCCAGTGTCTATGCCAGAGTTTTTAAGGTTGGCTTTGAGCCCATCTTTAAATCTCTTTTCCTGCCCACCAACATTCCGTTTTCTGTTCTTGAGTTCAGAGTAGAGCAACTGCTTTGGGAGACGGTGGTCAGGCATCCGGACGTGGCCGGTCCAGTGGAGCTGATGGCAGAGGACCATTGCTTCAGTGTTGGTGGTCTTTGCTTCTAGCATGCTGACATTTGTCTGCTTGTCTTCCCAGGAGATTTGCAGGATTTTTCGGAGACAGCGCTGATGGAATCGTTCCAGGAGTTGCATGTGACATCTCTAGACCGTCCACGTCTCGCAAGCATATAACAGGGTTGGGAGGACAATAGCTTTATAAACAAGCACCTTGGTATCCCTATGGATGTCCTGGTCCTCAAACACTCTCTGCTTCATTTGGAAAAATGCTGCACTCACAGAGCTCAGGCGGTGTTAAATTTCAGTGTCAATGTTTACTTTGGTGGAGAGGTGGCTGCCAAGGTAGTGGAAATGGTCAACATTTTGTAATGTTCCACCTTTAAGCTGGATATCTGGCATAGGAGAGGGATTGGTTGGTGACTGCTGGAAGAGCACTTTGGTTTTCTTGATGTTTAATGACAAGCCGAGCTGCTCGTATGCTTCTGCAAAGGTGTTTAGAGTGGCTTGTAGGTCGTCTTCTGAATGTGCACAGACAACATTGTCATCAGCATACTGGAGTTCTATAACAGATGTTGTTGGAACCTTGGTTCTGCCTTTCAGTCTGCTGAGGTTAAAAATTTGCCATCTGTCCGATAGATGATTTCCACTCCGGTGGGAAGCTTCCTGTCAATCAGGTAAAGTATCATAGTGATTTATTTATTTATTTATTTATCATGTCAGGAGCAACCAGGCATTTGTATTACATTTTTAACAAAAACAAACAAACAAACAGACAAAACACAAAGTTTGCAACTTGGTAGTTGATTAAATGTCCTTTGACCAGTAGCTGGCCACTTGGAGTGCCTCTGGTGTTGCCGCAAGGATGTCCTCCATTGTGCATGTGGCAGGGCTCAGGTTGCATTGCTGCAGGTGGTCAGTGGTTTGCTCTTCTCCTCACTCGCATGTCGTGGATTCCACTTTGTAGCCCCATTTCTTAAGATTGGCTCTGCATCTCATGGTGCCAGAGCGCAGTCTGTTCAGCACCTTCCAAGTCACCCAGTTTTCTGTGTACCCAGGGGAGAGTCTCTCATTTGGTATCAGCCATTGATTGAGGTTCTGGGTTTGAGCCTGCCACTTTTGGACTCTTGCTTGCTGGGGTGTTCCAGAAAGTGTCTCTGTAGATCTTAGAAAATTATTTCTAGATTTAAGTCATTGACGTGCTGGCTGATACCCAAACAAGGGATGAGCTGGAGATGTCACTGCCTTGGTCCTTTCACTATTGGCTGCTACTTCCTGGCGGATGTCAGTTGGTGCATCATCATAGTGATGAAGATGGAAAATAAGGTTGGGGCAATAACACATCCCTGTTTGACACCTGATTCCACCTTAAATGGGTCACTTTGGGAGCCACTGCTGTCCAGGACTGTTGCCATCATGTCATTATGGAGGAGCTGCAGGATGTGCACAAATTTGTTAGGGCACCTGTATATATATTCCAATTCAAAGCAGATAATGTGGTTTTTTATTCAGCTGTGTGGAAAGGCCCCCAGTCCAAAGCAGATATTGTGGGATTTTCTGCCTTGATAATCTGGGATCTAGGGCTGTGTGGAAGAGTCCTAAGAGGCGCCTGAGGGAGTGTAAAGGCCAAATTATGCAACCTTGAATGGCCCTTGTTCCATTGACTTGGCCTTTGGGCTGGAGCCGCGCAGACGCAAAGCCAAGCAGCAGGAGCAGGGCTTTTATTTGGCTCTTTACTCAGGAATCCAGCCAGGTTCTCCTTTCGCAGAAACTTCAGTCCTGTAAGGGGTGGGAGGCCTCTTGGTTTCCCTCTCTTCCATTGGCCCCTCCTCCTCCTCCTCCTTTCCCTGCCCTCCTCGCCTATTTCTCGGGCCGCGACCAGCCGGGGCTTCCTCGCCAACAAACACCATGAGCGGCGCCCTGCTGCTGAGGAGCCCCGTCTTTGTGGGCCTGAGGCGCTTCCTGAGGCCCTGCGGTGCCAAGAAGCCCTCTTTCTCCTCCTCCTTCTCCCCTGGAGGCGGCTATGAGGCCTTCTTCAAGAGGTCAGTGGAGCAGCCCCAGGAGCTGTGGGCAGAAGCGGCGGCGGGCATCGACTGGCACAAGCCCTGGGCCAAAACCATGGAGAGGAGAGACCCCTGCAGCACCGCCTGGTGAGTGTGAGGGAGGGAGAGAGAGGCCCGCCAAAGCCTGCCAAAGCCTCGCCTCGTTGCCCAGCTTTAGAGACTGGGAAAAGTTACTGTTTGGGGTGTTACTGTTCTTCCCTGCTTTCCTCTCTTGGTTGAAACTACAGTTCCCAGCTGGTTGGGGGATTCTGGGTACTACAACACATAAGTCAGAGGTAAAGGTTGCCTCAGGTCCCAACCTCAATCCTCTCAGGCCCCTTCCACACAGCTGAGTAAAATCCCACATTGTCAGCTTTGAACTGGGATATATGGCAGTGTGGACTCAGATCATTTATTTATTGACTCCATTTATATACTGCTTTTCTCAGCCCTCGGGCGACTCAGAGCACTTCACAGTAGCAAAATTCAATGCTTGAACATCTTAAAATAGTTAAAAACCATAGCATCAATATACAAACATTACAAAGTCAATACTACATAACTCACAGCTGTCTCTTAGTTAAAATCAAGATCCAATCTCGTCATCCAGTCGTTTCATTTTCCAATATTTGTTACACTGCCATTTCGAATGCCTGCTCGAATAACCAGGTCTTAACTTTCCTATGAAATGCTAACAGAGAAGGGGCCGATCTAATATCTCAGGGAAGGGCGTTCCATAGCTGAGTGGCTACCACTGAGAAGGCCCTGTCTCTCGTCCCTGCCATGTATTTGTGATGCAGGCGGGATCGAGAGCAGGGCCTCCCCAGATGATCTTAAGGTCCTTGCTGGTTCATAGGAGGAAATAACCCAGTTAATTATTATTATTATATTATAATTATTATCTTACAGTCCTAGATGCTTGGGAAATGTTCGACTTGTGATTCTGTGATACAAAATCCAGCATATAGATCTCGTTTGCTGATACTGTGGCTTTGTGTCAGTAAAATAATAATAATAATTATTCTGCCTGTGACAAAGAACTGGTGGGATTACAAGCCGGAAAAAGTTACCGAAAATGAACACGTCAAACTCCTCTAGGACTTCCGAATTCAGACAGAGTGAGTTATAGAGCACAAAACTCCTCACCCCACAATCGTGTTAAAAAACAAAGTATGGATTGTTGATGTTGCAATCCCAGGTGATAGGATTGAAGAGAAACAACTGGAAAAGCTGACACGATATGAGGATTTAAAGATCGAACTGCAAAGACTGGCACAAGCCAGTAAAGGTGGTTGCATTGGTGATTGGCACACTGGGTGCAGTGCCTAAAGACGTTGGCCTGCACTTAAACACAATTGGCACTGACAAAATTAACATCTGCCAGCTGCAAAAGGCCAACTTACTGGAATCTGCACACATTCACCAATACATCACACAATCCTAGATACTTGGGAAGTGTCCGATGTGTGATCCAATACAACAGCCAGCAGGGTGGTCTTGTCTGCTGTGGACTCATCTTGTTGTGTTTCTAATAATAATAATAATAATAATAATAATAATAATAATAATAATAACTTTATTTATATACCACTCTATCTCCCCATGGGGACTCAAGGCAGTTTACACAAGCAAACATAAAACATACAAAGTAGCCATTAAAATATAAACATAACATATAAATAATCCAATAAACAAGTGCTTCAAGCAGGCATATCGCTTGAAGCACCAAAAATCTGAAATAATTGACACAACCACATTCTTCCATTTTGCACAATGAATTACCAATGGCCCTACTTACAAGTGGGGCTGGACAGTTTAAAAAGGCTGGTTGGGGCTCATGTAGTGATAATATAGGGCAGGGAATAAATAAAGTGCAATAAGTGGACCTAATTAATGGCCAGGGTAGGGCCTGGGGCTACTTATTTCCAGGGCTACCTGGCAATTTTGAGGAAAGGTCTGGGCCAGGGCCGATACCACGAAGTGGGGGAGGAACAGGGAACAGGTAAGGTGCTGGCTGGGTCCTCACTGATGACTGGGGGGCCTTGGGTCTAAGACTAATAATCTTAATTAAAATCATATATTGTGGGATTTTGTGCATTTGATATTCTGGGGACCCTTCCACACAGCCACATAACCCAGAAGATCAAGGCAGAAAATCCCACAATATCTGCTTTGAACTGGGTTATCTGAGTCCACTCTACCATATATTCCATTCCAAAGCTGAAAATGTGGGATTTTATTCAGCTGTGTGAAAGGGCCCTTAACTGCTTAGAAAAGTTACTGTTGGTGGTGGTGTTCTTATTTCCCACACTGTTCTGTCTTGATTGAAAGCACAGTTCTCAGATGGTTGGGGGATTATGGGTATTAGGATCCAGAAATGACTCTCAACCTGAGGTCTTCCACAGTTGAAGGGCCCTTCCACACAGTGATATGACCCAGAATATCAAGGCAGAAAATCCCACAGTATCTGCTTTGAACTGTGTTATCTGAAGCCCCTTCCACACAGCGGAATAAAATCCCATATTATCTGTGGTGAACTGGAATATATGGCAGCGTGGACTCAGATAACTCAGTTCAAAGCAGATAATGTGGGATTTTCTGTCATGATATTCTGGGATATAGGACTGCATGGAAGGACCCTGGGTTATCTGAGGGTGCATCCAGACAGCGCCTTTATTGCGATAACTCCCGCAATAAAGAAGGGGCTGTCCAGATGACATCCTGGACAATCCCGAATTAATTGCCACAAATCAGGAAAACCCTAGTTTGTAGCAAATTAATTAGATAGTGGGTTTATTCCGCACCTTCTTGGAAGGCACGGGATAAACCCACTATTTCCAGTTCTGGACTCCAGAATACTGCAGTCCAGACACTAAATTAGTCAAGAAAACTGTGGGAATACCCCTCCCCCTCCCCACAGCCCCCAAACCCCTTTGAAAAGTAAGGTTGATAACCCATAGTGGAAACTTAAACATATTTAGTGTGAAACAGATTCCTGAAAAGTGGTCTGTAGAGATGCATCCACGCCCATCTAATATCAAATTTCTAGAGTCATTGTAGCTGCCAATAAAAATAGGTTCTCTCAAAGCTTTGATCATTTTAATCGCAGTCAAGGACAGACTCAGACAATGATTAACCTCAATCAATATTTCAGCCATCCTGGAATGTTACCCTTATTGTGACAAATTAGATAGGAAAATGGCTTGTTTTAACTGCCAGCTGACATTTTGTCTTTTTATTAATTACATTTATTTTTGGTCTTTTCTTTTTTAAAGAGATTGAGTCTGGGCTGATTTGCATAATACACGTGGCTTTTGGCTTGAGTGTTCCAGGAAATATGTTTGAATGTTGTAAGGGAGGCATTACTGAGGAGAGATGTCAGGAAATTTTGCATTGGCAGAGGTGGACAAGGTGTAGTTGCTCACATGGGAATTAGTGATTATCCTATCTGATTGTTAAAAGTCTTTTAATACTTTCGTTTTGTCTCCTGAACATGTATTGATGAAGATCAGGCCTTTTGGGGAATCACGTGAAACAAATACATTTGAAAATTACAGTGGTTAGGAGTCCCCAGCTAAAAAAGTAGTGTTCCAACCTTCTGTCTTTTATTGTGCACAACGAGACATACCTTCCAGTTGTTCTGATTTGACAGGGATTAACACTCTGTTGCCCTGTTTTCTCAGCTGTTTGTAAAATGCTCTACTTTCTCTTCCTTTCACTTCCCTTTTTGTCTCCAACTTACTTCAGCTGCTGCAAACTGAGTTCTAAGTGTAAAAGGAGTTTACATGCAATTGTCAGCAGTGAGAAGACGAGCAGAGGAGATGGATCTTGACCCCTTCTACACTGCTATACAATCCAGATTATCCAAGCAAATAATTATCTGCTTTGAACTGGATTATATGAGGGTCATTCCAGACAGGCCAAAAATCCAAGAGAAATTGGGATTTTAAATCCAACTTTCTCTCAGGATGGGGGCCACACAGCTGGCCTAAACCCTGTGCTTTTGCATGGGTGGTGTCTAGATACTCATCCCTGCTGATCCGAGGCACTGCCAGCCTCCCTTTCCCTGTCCTTCGTTTTCCCATGCATTTACTAGGAGAAGACTCCCACGGATCAGCAGGGATGAGTATCTAGCCACCACCAATGAAAACGTTTCCCCTCCTTCCCCCCTTCCTTGGAAGAGCCGAAAGAGGATGTAGGGTAGGGGGGATTTCTCCTCCAATGCCAAGGCTCCTTTCTGGTTGGTTATTCCAGGGAGAAGGAAGGGAGGCAAAGGCTCCAGGCCAGTATGGAAGCCTTCCTCCAGTAAGTTGAGTGGGAAATGGGAGGCAGGAGGGAGGGAAGGAAAACATGTGTTTTCCATGCCTGCAGGTTTACACAGTCATGGAAAGGTACGTTATTCTCAGGAGGAATCAAGTTTAAAGGACAACTTTTAAACATACATTTTTCCGCATTTAACCTGATCCTTCCTGATTCCTCCCATATTTTGGCTAAACATCGTTTAGTCACCCCCCCCCCCCTTAACTCGATTTAACCCTGGACTTTAGATGGCAGTGTAGAAGGGGCCCATATCCTTCCCAATAGACTCAAGGAAAAGTTAACCATGGCAGCCTCCTCTCGTTTATGTGGTTTCCCTCATTAATAAGTTTTGCCATTTCATCCACACTCTAATGTTGCTTAAGCAGACATGCTCTGGTTTTTATCTGAAATGTTGGAGGCTACAGGGGCCCCCTAGTGGCACAATGGATTAAACCACTGAGCTGCTGAATTTGCTGACCCAAAGATTGGTGGTTTGAATTGGGGGAGTGGGGTGAGCTCCCACTGTTAGCCCCAGCTTCTGCCAACCTAGCAGTTCGGAAACATGCAAATGGCAGTAGATCAATAGGTACTGCCTCTGCAAGAAGGTAATGGTGCTCCATGCAGTCATGCTGGGCACATGATCTTGGAGGTGCCTACAGACAACGTCGGCTCTTTTGCTTAGAAATGGAGATGGGCTCCACCCCACAGAATTGGTTATGACTAGACTTAATGTCATGGGAAACCTTTACTTTTTCTTTGTCTAAGAACCAGGAATCAAAGATCTTGGACCAGAATTGTTGTTGTTTATTTCTTGGACTCTATTTTGTAGTTGAACTTGTGGTGATAAAGTTTCCAAAGCTGAGATAGTATGGAGACACAGGACTTTCAGCTGCTCAAAACATAAATGTTTATAGTCCTGCTTCAGTGAGTGAAGGGGGAATTGCTTTTAAACTTGTTTTTACGTTTTTCTTTCTTTTTAGGTTTGTTGGGGGAGAGCTGAATATTTGTTATAATGCTGTAGATCGACATGTTAAAAATGGGCGAGGAGATCAGATTGCTATCATACATGACAGCCCTGTAACAAATACCAAAGAGTTGATAACATACAAAGAAGTTCTTCAGCAGGTGCGTTTAATATTTTTTTTAACTTAGCAAGATGGTATTTGAATTTTTTCAAAATTACTATATTGTCCACTATGTGATGGCATTATTGCATTAGTAAATTGTGTAATGCTAGTTGCAACCTGGTTATAGATTATGTGTATAGACACCATATATGTTGGAAAAACCTGACAGAAAACACTCCTATCTACTTTAAATGTACAGAGACTATCACTATTAAATAAAACTCTCACTTTTGATTCAGTTTGTATTGGTTCAGGTTTGTTCAGTATAATTGCATTTATTTATATACCTTGCTCTTAGTTACTATTGATCTTATTGTAATAACATATCTTCCCATCCATTTTGTTAATATCTCCTATCATGGTAATTTCAAATTTGCCAACAGAGCCAATATTCTCTCATATCAATTAATTTTTTCTTGTAGGAGTGTACTTGGACAGTACTATACAAATATCTGGGCCACAATGGAAAGAACTACTAGGGGATTATCTGTAATTAACTTTATCGAACTTTAAGAAAGAAGAGATTTTGTAATTGATTTGCACTGAATAGTCAGGAAAGCAAAAGATTAGCTCACATCTAAAGCTTTGTATATGACACATGATATTTGTATGATCGGTGGAAAATGATGTAGATCAAACAACACAGCTGTGTTACGGTTTTTCTTTGTATCTGTTTAATGGAATAGTGTGTGGCTTTGTCCCTTGATGTATTTTTACATGCAATTTTATCAGTATTTCCAGCCGACATTTGGAATATCTTGCAGTTCTGTTAATGTTTCAATGGAGATAGGCTTCCAACTTCAGGCCAAGATTCAGAGATCCATGGGGTTATTCTTTGCACCCAAGGAAGGTTCAGACACATATATTATTGAAAACCCGATGTGCCTTCACAATTATGCAAAGTGCTTTTGAAGTGAATGTGCTTTCGAAAGCAGTATGTGACATGTCATGGGGATATGCTACTGCTTAGATGAAAGAAACAAAATTTTCTGATATGAATGAACTGGCCTTCTGCAGCACCTCAACAATTATTTGGATTCTAGCTTTAGATCCAGAATCAAATGTAGCTTTGTGGCTTCTGCTTCCTGGACGGTTAAATGTATCTTTGTCTTTTTATTAACTTGATAACAGTGCTATTTGCTTTCTATGCAACAACTTTTTTTTAACAAAAAAGGAGCCCGGAAGTCTAGAAATAGCTGCTAATTTGACAAAGATACAAGCGTCTAGTATCACACATTCATAATAGCACAGCTTGCATTGCGTCCTACGTCTTAGAGCTATTATTATGTAATTTACACTTTACAGCATGTGTCTTCTACATATCGAGTACACTTTGTGAGTGTGCAAGTCTCCTGTAAAACCAAAGCATGTTTTGTGATTGTTATAGTTTAGGACCAAGCCATGACTTGAACTTTGAAATACAGGTAAATCATGATTTAGAGCTGCTTTGTTGGCTGTTATTTTCTGTCAGCACTGAGTATGATTTGTCAGTTAATTGAAGCATCATATAAGTTCTTTGTAAACTGCTTCCTTCAACTTGGTTTGTTGTAATGCCTAAATTGGTAATGCATTTGCACGTGGCAGGTCTAATTCAGCTCTTTATTCTTAGATAAAATAATTTATGGAAGAAGATGAATTACTTCTTAAAATTATATGCAAGGGGTTTGTTTTTTTTCTCCCTCTGGATTTCATAAAAGTGAAGGTTGTCAGGACACAGGTATACCTTCATAGGATATGCTAACTCAGGAACATGCTATAACTGAAAGGTCGTTTAACCTCCCTTTTCTTAGGATTTTTGTGGTTTTTGAAAATTGGTTCCTTATGAAAGCATTGATTACTGGTTAAATGAGATTTTGGATTGAGATGGACATTTTGATGGTTCTTCTGTGTACTTGAGTGACTCATTACTAATCACATAATGAAGTTCAGAAATCTTACCATCCAGTGAAGTCACTCAGTTTGTTCCTCTTTTTTATTGAATAAAGTGAATCTTTGCCTAATGTAATATGAAGAATGATAACTCTGAATTGTTTATTATTATACATATCCTGATTTGTTTATGGAACAGCATTTTAGATTACACTCAACTCTGAAATTGTGCTGATGTTCATTATAAATACTGTTTTCCTTACAGAATTTTGAACTGTGTACATTTATATATTTTTAATCATTTGGGTTTTCAGGAGAAAGTGTCATGGAGCACCAAACTGAGAAAAACTTTTCACTTTTAATTACATGCTCTTTAGGAATGTCAGCCACAAGAATGATGTAAAGGTTAACTGTCAAAGTGTGGCATCATGGCAAATCTTTTGAGTATTGAAAATAACCTTAACTGTTACAGAAAAAGCAAGAGATTTTGTTAGATAACAATATTTGACAGGAATATATTTTAAAATCTCAACATTAAACACCAAGCTATTTGAAATTTGTTTTCCTTTTTTAAACATTTTAATGCATTAGTAGTATATTGAACATTTTCAATTATGAAAGATAAGTCTTCAACAGATAATTATTTCTGTATTAGGCTTTGCCTTTCAAAAGTCAGACTCAAGGTAGATCATAGAGGTAATAAATAAAAGAAGTGTGTGAATGTGTGCCTTTGAGTCACAGCGACCCCGTGGATTTCATAGGGTCTTCTTAGACAAGCAATACTCAGGCAGTTTTGCCAGTTCTTTTTTCTGGGCTATAGCCTTTATCATCCAAGTACTATCAAGAGCTGACTCCGCATAGCTTCCAAGGTCAGGCAGGATCTGGAGTTTTTAAACATTTAGCTAATCATCTATATTTTCTGTTTTTCCAACAGAGCTGTAGCTTGTTAGAAATACTTTTATGTATCATATAAAATATCACATAGCAATATTTCTCTGTATGCTTCTTAAAATGCACAAATAATTGTGTATCAATTTGCTAAATGTTCCTTCCTCATTCCCTGCAGGCCCTCTCTGTTGGCAAGCAGTAGCTATCAGATTTGGTAGTCTGTTTTGATTCAGGAATGTAGTAGCGCTTCTACAGACCTTAACTCAGATTTTTTAAAAGCTGTATCGGAAGGAGAAAGTACATAATTAGCTTGAAATGGGAAATCCTTATTGCAGGCTTGAACAGCAAAACTACAATCCTTAAGATTTTATTCAACTTTATTAGCACTCTACTTCTCACCTTGTTTTATGATTTTGTGGTGAAGGGGGGGGGGGGGTGGAGAGATTATATGCTTTTTACATCCACATAAATGAGATGGAATGTAAGAAACAAGAGTAAATTACTTACCCAGGAGCTTTTTTTTCATACTCTAGTCATAATTTTCAAGGACTTGCGTGTTTTCCAGCAGGTAGTTTATGAACCATAGTTTATAATGAAAGTACTTCTGCTAGCCGCTTTAATGATGATCAAAAGTAAACATTGATTCAATTTGTCTTACTGTGTATCTTAATATTTGCTATTCTAAACTCTGACTGGTTAATAAAACAAAAAACACTATTTATGAAACTTAAATTGTGTAGTTTGTACCATTTCCCCTTCATTTTAAAATTTCTTTCATGTTTCCAATGTTCATACTGTTGTATTGTAATGTGATGATCCATGCTTATATTTTTAAAATGTCCAGTGAACAAATATTCTTATTTTTACAGTTGAATTCCAGTTTTACTAGGCTAGAAATATCTATGCAGCCGTGTTTTTATCTTGATTTGGTCAAAATACTAGAATTACCCTGTTTTCTGAGTATTGTTCTTCAGCCTGGACACAGCACAGTTTTTGAGAACACAGAAATGCTGGACCACTCTTAACAACCACCATGTCAGACTACACAGAGAAGCTATTGAAATCCACAAGCATGTGGACAATTTCAACAGAAAGGAAGAAACCATGAAAACGAACAAAATCTGGCTACCAGTATTAAAAACTCTAAAATCAGGACAATAAATAAAGAACAATACTCAGAAAACAGGGGAATTCCAGAAAGGAAACAATCAGGACCAGCTAACACCTCCTAACAAAGGATTTGCCCAGGCAGGAAGCAGCCAGGCTTTGAAGCTCCAAGGCTATTCAGTGCTAATCAAGGTAGCCATTTGCAAGTCACAAATGCCCCCAGCAGACAAGAGTTCTTTCTCCCAACCTGGACATTCCACAGATATATAAACCCCACTTGCCTAGTTTCCAACAGATCTCACAACCTCTGAGGATGTGGGTGAAATGTCAGGAGAGAATGCCTCTAGAACATGGCCATACAACCTGAAATACTCACAGCAAGTATTTTGACCAAATCAAGATAAAAACACTGCTGCATAGATATCTCTAGCCTAGCAAAACAGGAATTCACCTATAAAAATAAGGATATTTGTTCATTGGACATTAAAAAAAATATAAGCATGGATTATCATGTTACAATACCAACAGTATTGGAATTCCCCTGTTTCTGAGTGTTGCTCCAACAAAGGATTCCCTCAGGCAGTAAGAAGTCAGACCTTGAAACTGCCAGGCCATTAAATGCTAATCAAGGTGGCCAATTGAAACATTCACACCTACCTCAAACAGACAAAAGTTCTTTTGCCCACCCTGGACATTCCACAAATATATAATTCCTACTTGCCTCGTTTCCAACAGAACTCACAATCTCTGATGATGCCTGCCATAGATATGGGTGAATGCTACTGTAACATGGCCATAAAGCTCTGAAAACTCACAGCAACACAGTGATTCTGGCCATGAAGGCCTTCGACCACACATAATTTTGAATCTTTAAAAAGTGTAATAATAATTTGTGTTATGTGAATAACTTCTACATTTTGCCTGTTCAGGTCTCCAAGTTAGCTGGTGTCATGAGAAGCCATGGAGTAAAAAAGGGAGACTGTGTGGTCATCTACATGCCTATGATTCCACAGACTATGTACACAATGCTAGCATGTGCAAGAATAGGAGCTATACATAGTCTCATTTTTGGTGGATTTGCTTCAAAAGAGCTTTCTACACGCATTGATCATGCCAAGGTAACATTTTTGATCCGATTTGGGGAAAATTAAGTAGCTGTTATATCCAGTATCTTCTATTCAGGGAAAGATGTGAAGAGATTTTTTAAAGTGACTACCCAGAGTGACACAATGGTTTGAACAGTGGCTCTAAAATTTTGGTAGTCCTTGTGTTTTGGACTTCAGTTTCCAAAAGCCACAGCCAGCTTGGCCAGTAGTCAGGAATTCTGGGAGCTGAAGTCCAAAACACCCGGAGGACCAACATTTGGGAACCACTGGGTTTGAGTGTTGGACTACAATCTGGAGACCATGGTTTGTTTGAAGTCTTCTCTGGCCATGAAAACCCTATGGATTTGCAGGACAAAATTAACATTGGTTCTATGAGGTTCTCTCTTAACACTGTCCCTGTAATATCTTCCTTTCACTATTCAAATTCCTAATTCAGGAAGTACTTTTAAAATGCAAGTATACAGTCACTGTTATCCATGGAAAATAATTGCTTTCATATCCTATTTTGGAAAATGTGCAATGTATCAGTTGAAGTGTAAGCTGAATTTTAAATAGCTTGGGGAATACTGCATAACCCTGCCATTGATGATTGTTAGTTTTTCCTGGTTAGGTGAACAGTGGTTGAAGATCACCACTGTAATTAGTTTGCTTAATCATATGACAAGCAGACTGTTGCCATACACCAAATAGTGTTGTCTCTAGCTTTATATCCCTCACTTTGTAAAATGAATCCCTAGAGTAATATGTTATAGTGCTTTAAAAGTGCTTGAAATTTTATATTCAATGGTGATAATGCAGTTTTGACAATAAAATTTGAGTAGCGGGAACCATTTAGTCTTTGTGAATTATCATTAGAAGTTTTGTTTTCCTAAGTGCTTTTCACCCATGCTAGATCCCTTTTTTTTCAAATGGAAATTGCTTTGGAATGAATTATTAGTTTGCCCATGTATTTTTATAGACCAAACACATACTTTAAAGATTTGGAATATATTCCAGTTTCACAAAAAGTTTATAGTCCCTATTTCTTTATTTAGAGCTTTCATCTTTAATAAGTTTCTCTTAAAAAGCCATGGCTTATATTAATGAGGGTTGTACCCATGGTTACCACTTGGAAAATGTAAGTTTATTTAAAAAATAAAGTAAGCATTATTTTGGCTAATTTCAGTATGGAAATACAAAAATCAGAACAGCATTCAAATCAGAAATAGAGAACACATATCCCTCCAGATGTTACTCGATTTAAATTCCCATCAGTCCCAGCCAGCTTAGCCAGTGGCGATGGGTGATAAAACATTCAGTCCAACAATATCTGGAGGTCACACATTTCCCACCCCTGATTTAAAGAGATATTCACATTTTATTATCCAGTTAATGAGTGGCATTTGTTCATTCATTCGTTCACTCAACTATAATTGCATAAAAATTATTTTCTCTCCAAAGGAGAAATATACTTACATTTGGTGTATGAATAATCTACATATGATTGGGCAGTTGGGCAATTTTTCTTGTTATAAGTTGGGTATTAGGTACAGGAATAACAGATATGACTAGCACTGAATTCTAGTTTTCATTAATATTTTTGGGAGCTGATTTACTTATGTTGATATATGTGACCTTGATGTAGGATTTTTCATTTAGCATCTTAATCTTAAAGAAACCACCAATATAGTACTTGAAAGACCTGTCATGTTGCATGTTTCGGAAGTAGTGTTTGAATTTATAATTTTTGAAACATTTTTTTTAGCCCAAACTGATTGTAACATCAACCTTTGGAATAGAACCTGGAAGAAAAGTTGAATATCTACCACTTTTAGAAAAAGCCCTGGAGATGATAAAGCACCAACCTGAAAAAGTTCTAATTTACAGCCGCCCTAATATGGTAGAGTTACAGCATACTATTTGACACTTATACTTGAACTAATTTTTCTTTTGATTTATATTTTCTCTGAACATTCTAACTGGAGTATTTCATTTTGTGCAACTTAAATTGCATGTCATAATCTCTTTGGTGACCTCCTGCTGCTTTGCTCATTTGAAGTGTATAATCCTGTACATTTCAATATAGCGCCTGAAATTCTTTTGGATGAGGTAAAAGATATAGTTGATGTCTCTGCAAGAAAAGCTTGTTTTTTATTTTGCTTTGTGAAGTGCAATTTAAATGGTCACATTTTTATTCCTCCTCTGGTGTCCAGGAGCCTGCCCCTCTCAGACCAGGACGTGATCTGGATTGGCATGAGGAAATGGCAAAAGCAAAGCCGTGTGATTGCATTCCTGTTCTTTCAGACCATCCTCTTTATATTCTTTATACATCAGGAACAACTGGCACACCCAAGGTAGACAGTGTCTTTCAGTTTAAGGGTCTGTGACCAAATTATTTTCTATTCCACATGAAGGATTTAATTAAAAGGCAGAAAATGTTTTCCTTGCTTAGTGCTCATAAAAGATTGAGTATTACTGAAGCTGATTTTATTTCATTGCCCCACGTAATTTATAGTGTTTGAAATATATCATCTGTGGATATTTGATTTGGGTTTCCTCCCTCTCATGGAATTGTTCACTGCCTAAAGTTGCATTTTTATGGTATATACTCTGAGGTGTCTAACTAGTTGCATTCTGTCTCTGATTTAGATTTTAGGTATTCTCATGGCTTTTTAAAAATTTTGTACTTTGGAGAAGATCAAATAATTTGTAGAATATTAATGCTATATGGAAGAACTCAGTGAAATATGCTGTATGAAGAAATAATAGTAAACATTAGAATCTCACAAATAAATATGAAGCAGAAGGAATGCCCAAAACAACACAGATGAGTTGGATTTGGTAGGCAAGAATGAGCATGAAAAGACATAGTTTCCATTCCCTGAAGAAATATGTAGAGTATTCACAGATGCTAATAAGTGCAAGTAATTAAGTGTGCAAGTTAATTGCGTCGTTGATTGGTGAAAATTCAGAGGGAGAGCTCATGCTCACTTTTATGTTTTACAATCTTATTTAAAACCTTAAAAAAAACAAAACAAAACGTTTCTTTCAGGAAGGCCAACCTCAGGCACTTAGTTTTTTCAGTGTGTCAGGGATTAGCACTTTATTTTTACCTCTTGATTGTAATTGTTTATGGTAATTAGCATCTGGGGAAAACTGGGTAGAAGTGAGGTAACCATTGAGAGACTGATACCAAATGGGTTCACTTCAAGGCCTGTTTCCTGCTCTTTGGAAACACCAGAATACGGTTTATATTTTTAACAAATAAAAAGAAAGGCATTGCATGCTGATTATGTGTTGTTGAAGAAAGGGCGGGTGGGCTGGGAGATGGTGGGACCCATGAAGCAGCCACCATTACAATTAAATCGGTCACAGGAAGTTATGACAAGGAAAAACATTTAAGTTATTTCAGAAGTCCAAAATAGTGCGTTGATTGTTTCCAGGCTTGGTTCAGTTAATTTAGATAACTGTGACAACAAACACTCTGGGTTGAAAATGCTGCTAGTGAATGCCATGTCAATGAATGGTAATGGATGAGGCTGCTGATCCTAGTATGTATCACAGGGTCCTGGATGAATGTGACTAAGGGCCCATTGGTTGGTGAATTATCTGCCCTTCTGCCCAACAGTCTTCCTTCTTGAACTAGCTGGGTTGATCTTAGAGTTGAAGTCGGCTTGTAGTATTGGGGACTTCAACATCCATGCTGAGACTGCCGTTTCAGAAGTGACTTAGGGTTTCATGTCTCCATATTTCTGTCCTATATGGTATATGATCCCTCTCATGCCAGTGGGTGCTTTCTAGGTCTTGTTTTCTGAGCTGTGTGTAGTGTTGGGGTTCTTGGTGTGCAGGAAGTGTATAGACCTCTTATTTTCATGACTAGATCACTGCCTGATTGGGTTTAGATGGATCTGCAGGGGTAGGGTACCAATTAAGTTGGTCTCCACCAGGAGGATTATGCATCTGGTTGAATTCCTGATGGCTCTTGATTGCTTTCCTATTCCCTTGGTACTGTAAATGATTCTCTGGGATGGAATTTGGGAGTAGCAAATCGATAAGGTGATGCTTGACCATTGGTCTGTGGGGTTCTGTTTTGTTGCCCATGCAATTTAACACATGCATGAAACTGATTTTGTTCATTGGCTACCAGTATTGAGAAACACCAGAATCAAGACAGTAACTAAGAAACACCACCCAGGCACAGGAAGCCGCTAGGCAGCAAGCAATCAAGAGCCAGTGAACACCACCTGTGCAAAGAATGCCTCCAGGCAATAAACACTCCAAAGGAACAAAGGTGTGGCTATTTCTAACTGTCAGTCTGTTTCTAGGAAATATTCAAAGGTGACCATGACAAGCAGATGTGCCTCAGTGACTGTTCTGAACCGTGTCAGCACTGAACTGTGAGCACTTGAAAAGCTGAGGTTGTACTCTCAGAAATCAATGCTGTCTCGGTCCCCTATAGCAATGGTTTTCAGCCTGTGGGTCCCCGGATGTTTTGGCCTTCAACTCCAGAAATCAAAGCAGCTGGTAAACCAGCTGGGATTTCTGGGAGTTGTAGTCCAAAACAACTGGGGACCAACAGGTTGAGAACCACTGCTCTATAGAATTTAGAAAGGAATCAATTTTACTATAGATTCCTAGAATTACTCATGAATCTCTTATGCTCTTTGAAAAATGCATTAGCCTCAGAAATCTTAGTTTAGTGGAGTGTCCCAATTTGTGTCATTAAGTGACTTTCTGTACATTATTTAGATCATCAACCCCATTCTAAAGCATAAGAGCTTTTATTTTATTTATTTATTTATTTATTTATTTGATGCATTTATTAACCGCCATTCTCAGCCCTTTAGGGCGACTCATGGCGGTGTACACACATATAAAAGACAATTTACAAAAGGCAATTACAACAACATATAAACTACATAACAATTACAAAAACTACACTAAAAATCCGCTTCGTCTCATAGTGGAATCATAAGCCAATCTCATATTCCTTATTCCATTCCAATCATCTTTACCACATTGTTATAACACTTAATTAAATGCCTTCTCGAACAGCCATGTCTTAAGGCTTTTTCGGAAGGTCATGAGGGAGGGCGCCTGTCTGATGTCTACAGGGAGAGTGTTCCACAGCCGGGGGGCCACCACCGAGAAGGCCCTCTCTCTCGTCCCCGCCAGACGTGCCTGTGAGGCAGGCGGGATCGAGAGAAGGGCCTCCCCAGACGATCTCAAGGTCCTCGTGGGCTCGTAGGCCAAGATGCGGTCCGAAAGGTATTTTGGGCCGGAACCGTTTAGGGCTTTGTAGGATAACACCAGCACCTTAAATTGGGCCCGGTAGCAAATCGGCAGCCAGTGGAGCTGGACAACAAGGGCGTTGTATGCTCCCTGCGTCCCGCTCCTGTTAGTAACATGGCTGCCGCGCGCTGGACTAGCTGAAGCTTCCGGGCCGTCTTCAAGGGCAGCCCCACGTAGAGAGCGTTGCAGTAGTCAAGGCGGGATGTGACCAGAGCGTGTACTATCGTGGCCAAGTCAGACTTCCCAAGGTACGGGCGCAGCTGGCGCACGAGCCTAAGCTGTGCAAATGCTCCCCTGGTCACCGCTGAAACCTGGGGGTCCAGGCTCAAGGATGAATCCAGGATCACACCCAAGCTGCGAACCTGTGCCTTCAAGGGGAGTGCGACCCCATCCAGCACAGGCTGTAACCCTATACCCTGTTCGGCCTTTTTGACTAACCAGAACCTCTGTCTTGTCTGGATTTATTTTCAATTTGTCCTCTCTCATCCAGACTGTCACAGCTGCCAAGCACCGGTTCAGGACCTCGACAGCCTCCTTAGTAGCAGGTGGGAAGGAGTGACAGAGTTGGACATCATCTGCGTACAGATGACACCGCACCCCGAAACTCCGGATGATCTCACCCAGCGGCTTCATGTAGATGTTGAACAGCATGGGGGACAGTATAGAGCCCTGTGGAACCCCACAAGACAAAGGCTGTGGTGTTGAACAGGAGTCCCCCAATAACACCTTCTGGGTGCGGCCCTCCAGAAATGACTGGAGCCACTGCAAGCAGTGCCCCCAAGACCCATTTCCGCAAGGCGCCCCAGAAGGATACCGTGGTCGACGGTATCGAAGGCCGCTGAGAGGTCCAGGAGCACCAGCAGGGACACACTCCCCCTGTCTAGCTCCCGGCGCAGATCATCCACTAAGGCGACCAAGACCGTCTCGGTTCCATGTCCCGGTCTGAAACCAGACTGTGCCGGATCCAGATAATCCGTGTCTCTCAAGAATACCTGGAGTTGTGAGGCCACCACGCTTTCCATGACTTTGCCCAGAAAGGGGAGATTGGAAACAGGCCGAAAGTTGTTCTATTGGGTGATGGTTTCTTCAACAGTGGTTTTATGACAGCTTCTTTCAGGCTGGCCGGCATCTTGCCCTCCTGAAAGGCGGCATTAACCACCACCTTGACCCCCTCGGCCAAACCCCCTCTGGCCGCCTTGACCAGCCAGGATGGGCAGGGGTCTAGGATGGACGTGGTGGGCCTCATTCCTCCAAGTATCTTGTCCACATCCTCGGGTTTCACAAGCTGAAAAGAATCCATCAAGATAGGACAAGCAGGTGCTCTTGTTACATCCTCGGAGACTGCATTTAACGCGGCGTCCAGCTCAGAACGGATCAAGGCGACTTTGTCTGCAAAGAACCGAGCAAATGCTTCACAGCGCGTGACCGAATTGTCAGGGCTCCCGTCTGAGGTGGCGGGAGTTAAAAGGCCTCTGACAATCCGAAACAACTCCGCCGGACGGTTCTTTGCAGACGCAATAGTGGCCGCAAAGAAAATTTTCTTTGCGGCCTTTATTGCCGCGGCATATGCCCTAAGAAAGGACACAAACCGTGTTCGATTTGACTCGCTCGGATCCGAACGCCACACGCTCTCTAGTTCCCTCTTCCTTCGCTTCATCGCTGCCAGCTCCTCAGTAAACCAAGGGGCTGGTTTAGCTCGGCTACTTGAGAGGGGACGTTCCGGAGCGATCATGTCAATTGCCCTGGTCCATCTCCCCATTCCAGAGAGCGACCAAGGCCTCGACATGGTCACCTACCGAGGTGGCGGGAAAATCCCCAAGAGCCGTCAGGAATCCGTTCGGATCCATAAGCCTCCTGGGGCGGACCATCTTAATGGGTCCTCCACCTTTGCAGAGGTTAGGGGGCGCAGTGAGCCTAAATCTGATCAGGAAGTGGTCAGTCCATGGCAACGGAGAGATGGACAACTCCTCCACACCGCCACCCTGCTCCCATCCCTGGCAGAAAACCAAGTCCAATGTATGTCCAGCACAGTGGGTGGGGCCAGATATTTGTTGGGACAGCCCCATGGTTGCCATGGCAGACATGAAGTCCTGAGCCGCTCGGGGGCCTCGGCATGGATGTTGAAGTCTCCCAGCACAAGAGCCGTTGAGACTCAACGCCAGGCTCGAGACCACCCCTTCTAGCTCAGGTAGGGAGACTGTAGTGCAGCGGGGTGGTCAGTACACTAACAGAATCCCTATCCTGTCCCGGTCACCTATCCTAAAGCCGGCACATTCAAAATTTGTGGTCTGCGGGATGGGGCACCTGGTCAGATGGATGGAATCTCTATAGACCACTGCGACCCCGCCTCCCCGCCCTCCGGATCTCGGTTGGTGCTGCACGGAGAAGCCTGGAGGACAAAGCTGGGTCAGATTTACTCCTCCAGCTTCATCCAGCCAGGTCTCCGTGATGCACGCCAGATCTGCCCGCTTGTCCAGGATTAGGTCCTGGATCCAGGTCGTTTTTCCGTTGACAGATCTGGCGTTCAACAGCACCACCTTCAGTCCAGAGGGTCCGCTCACCTGGTTACACCAATTTACCTTAGGAGACCGATTTGGAATTGTTAATGTAGGTAAGTGGTCCGAATTTGGCCGAATTTGAGGTCTCCTTTTCCCGCATCTCCTCCTTCCCACCACGACCTCTATGGGGGCCCCTCTGCTAGTGGAACACCTCCCCTCCTCCGTGCCGCAGTTCATGACCAAGGACTTAGTCTCTGGTTCACCAGCTGTTTGGAATGTTGGCGTTTTTTCATGCCAGTTGCTTTGGTCTTCTTTATCCCCCCTCCCCTCCTCATTGTTCTTCACAGGCTCCAGCCCCCTTCCTTCCCTGCCCCTTCCACCAGTCAATAATATCAGGGACAGTATACATAGAAGGGTGGGGGACCACATGGGTGAAATCAGTACACTTCAATAGATGGCAGTGATACAGATGGTAAACGTTCAGCCGCGAAAGTAGGATGATACTTAAAGTGCTAGAGAATTAAAGTGCAACAGTAGTAACTCCACGGCTACGAGCCACTAGGGCGATTCATAAGGTGCCAGGTCCTAAGGTGCAACAAGCTCAAACACTGACCCTCAATACTACTAAAGTGCGGCCGGAGGGATCGGGAAGGGGTAAAGTGCAAAAACAGTTAGCGACAGAGGCAGGCGCCTTAAGGTGCTATATTATGCTCTTATTACCACATTTTAAAGTAACAGTTTTCCACACATCTTCATTACAGAGAGAAATGTAGTGAAGCTTCATCTGCAGTTGTTAAGGATTCTAGGAGCTAGTGGAAAATATGCTAATTGCTTCTGCAAGTTAAATGATGGAAATGCTAATTTTCCTTATGGGAGATAATTTCAGCTTGTCTTTTATTTGCAAATGATCTTAATTTTAAATTGCTTCTCACTTAGGGTGTTGTTCGACCAACAGGTGGCTACGCAGTTATGCTAAACTGGACCATGTCAGCTGTATACGGCCTTCATTCTCAAGAGGTAATTTCCATTTATATTCTAGTTCATAATTATGAAAAATGTTGTTTATACCATTTCTTTACTTGTTTCTGTTTCTGTTTTAGGTGTGGTGGGCAGCATCTGATTTAGGCTGGGTAGTAGGTCATTCTTACATTTGCTATGGACCTCTTCTGCATGGGAATACAACAGTTTTGTATGAGGTAACTGCTAATTTTAATGTTAGTTGCTTAATTATTTAGTACATTTGGGAACTGAAGAAGCTCTCAAAACAACTGTAAAATACACCACAAAATACATACATATGCTCTTTTCCAAGATTTTACTATTACTTCTCTTTGGAAGTCTTACATAGATACCGAAGCTTGGTTTCTCTCCTCCAGTGTTTAGAGCAAGTGAAAGGAATGTTAGGGTCATTGTTTGTATAATTGAGAATACACACACACACACATTATACATTTGTTAGATTGATGTTTTTTATTTGAAAGATATTCTCAGTATAATTTAGGTTAATTTGTAATTGACATCATCCTGGGATGTCTCTTATAAAATGATCATAACATCTTCAGGGCCTGCCCTCTGAGACTTCACAATGGGTTGGCCTTAGATCTTAGGTTTTAACTCAGAAATTTCAGGAGGTATTTATGTGGAACAGCTGCTTGTTAAATTGGCAAAAGGAAAAACCACATGGAGACCACCTAGTAACTTTATATTATATGAATAATTGTTCTCCCAATTTCCAAAATTATCTCACAATAAATCTATTTCCTATTTCTTCCTCCTCTCTGTTCTTGTTTTTGTGTGTCAGGAGAGTAGACTGAACGTTTTACTTTTGATTTTAAACAGATTTCAATTTGCATTGCAAATTGGTGTCTGGTGAAGTTTGGTTCTAGAACCACCCATGGGTACCAAAATCTATGGATACTCAAGCTCCAGTATATAGTGGCACAGTAAAATGTTGTCTCTTGTATAAAATGACAAAATCAATGTTTGATTTTGGGAATAATTTTTGGGGAAGGGGGATATTTTCAAGTAATAGATGAGTTCAAATTAGTTTCAGCACTTTGGATAAGCATACTCAAGGTTCTAGAGTGCATTCACTGATGTTAGAGCTATCAGTTGCATCTGGTGTTTACATGCTGTCTTGATTTAGGCTTTGTGAAAGTAGGTAGGCCTCAGCAATCTTTTTTAATTATTGCCCCCTTCTTCCATAGTATAGTAACCAAACTTCTTTGTGATCTCTGTGAAATCACACATATGGGTCTCGTGTGCAGGTGCAAGGCATGTCAGAATTCTCTAGAACTCTTAAAAATCCTGCTTACTCCCCTTGAGTATATAGACAGCTGCAGGGGCTAACACCTCAGTTCCCTTTTGTCCGCAACAGTAGCAGCAGCAAAGGAATTGCTCTTCGCTCTTACTCTAACTAAAGCAGTTATTTCACTTGGTGATCTTCCTTGAACAATTTACCTCCTTTTGGTGTTGATGTTGGACTGTTTAATAACTCTCTTCTTAATCTCTTGGACTCTTGACTCGTGGTTTGACCTGGACTCTTTGACAATGCTTTCTTCTTATCCATTGACATTATTTTAACTCTCCTGCCCTGACTACCCTTCAGGGCTTGTTTGTTCTTGTCTGTTTCTTCTGATGCTTTTTCAGTAGTTGTGAAATGGGACCTTTGTTTAAATTCCAGTTTAATGATTAAATGATGATTAAATAGTGGGTTAAATAGGTTTACATTATTACCTTTTATATCTGAAAAGATAAATTGGATATAAATGTAGCAAATGTAGATTTTTTTTTAAGAGAGCATATTAATCAGATCTGCAAACAAGCAAATCTGCCAAAGTTAAAACCATAAATCTTCAGGTCCAACTGTATTTGTATGTGTGTGTAATAATACTGAGCCATGAGAAATTTAACATTTTAGATTTACTCCTTATCTACATTTTCCAAATATAGCCTGGGATATAAATGAAACAGAAATGTTTTAGCAAATAATTTCCTTATTTGTAGAAAGGCTTTATGCTAGTTGCTTGTGCAGTCTGCTGATTAAGTGGAGAATACTGTTGCATTCAGGAACTGAGCTATGAAAGAATTACGGAATACTTTTTACCCAATTTCAGTTTTAAAACTAACCTCTTCATAGGGGAAACCTGTAGGGACTCCAGATGCGGGTGCTTTTTTCCGTGTGCTGGCAGAGCATGGAGTGGCTGCTTTCTTTACTGCACCAACTGCAATTAGAGCAATCCGTCAGCAGGATCCTGAGGCTACCCTGGGGAAACAGTACAATCTGACAAGGTGAGCTCAGGTTATACCAGAAGCTTGTTTTATTTACTATTGGAAATTGGAAATAAGCTTGAGATGTATGTATTCTCTTGGGTACAGTCAGTTACACTGATGCTATAACAAATAGGATACACGTGTGTGTACTTGGCTACCTTCATTAAGTCATGCCTTGGACTTGCACACTTCTCCCCCCCCCCCCCCTTGCTCTGATTCCTTCTGTTGCTGACTGGTGTGAGCAAAACATGATTTGTCATAGTGTATATGAATTGAGTGGGAAATGCGCATTGAACCAGCAAGCTTCATGGGAGTTTAAGTTCACGCTCTTCCAAAGTGCTATCTCTTAAAACCCACCCACTCTAGATGTATTCATCAAATTATCGTTTCCAGTTTGGAAATGCTTAATTATGAATTCTGGGCATGCCATTCTGTTACTACAAAACTCAACAAAGAACCTTGCCACCTCTAAAGGTTCAAGTTAGAATGTTTTATACTTTTGTTGGAGAACAGATCCCATTAAACTCAGTCTTGTCTATCACTAATTACAATTGTATAGGATGATGTTATTTTGGAATACATATTTGTTGACAGTACTGTGCATTTGAAGAAATGTGATGTTAAGAATCCTGTGTTAGGTTAAGGTATATGGTGTCTTGGGACATTTTAGCTATCTAGATATTCCAGAATTCAGGTAATGTGAGATTTAGGACAGCAGGCAGTCCCCGAGTTACAAATGTCTGACTTACAGATGACTCATAGTTAAGAACGGAGGTGAGACAACAGGAAGTGAGAGAAATCTACCCTTAGGAAGGAAAATATACACCTGAAAGAGTGTTATCATGGGGAAAAGGTATCTCCACTGAAGCTTTATCACCAATCATTGTTTCTACAGCAAGGCAATTTTTTTTCAAAATCTAAGTCTCACAGAGACAGAAAGTGCAGTGAAAGCTTCTGAAAAGGGGTACAAACAGCAAAACAAACACCATAGAGGTATTAACCCTTCCCTATGCTATACAGAGCTTCCTCCCTCTCTCTCTCCCTCACTCCCCCCCCTCTCTCTATATATATGTTTGGCTGTAATTACACTTAAAGAATGTACCTGTTCTGACTTACAAACAAATTCAACTTAAGAACAAATCTACAGAACCTGTCTTGTTCATAACTCGGAGACTGCCTGTATGCTTAATCCACAACATTAATGCATTTCTATTCCTGATTGAGCTTCATATGATTGATGCCATAGTATCTCCACTTGTCGAACTGTAAAAGAAAGTGTGGTCTTATAGAGCTTTTTTTATACAGGCAGACAAAAGTGACCCTGTTCTAATTCTTAGATGTGTATAGTGGCAAAATTACCATAGTAAAGAGAGATAGTTATATATAGGTAATGTAAATGACCAAGAGGAATGTGGTTCATAAACTAAGGTTAATATGCTGAACAAACTACAGGAGCTGCATCAACACCGTATGAACACATAATTAATCACAATAAACCTTTCATATAGTCTTCTGCAAAACAAATCTGTATTTTATAGGAGTGCCTCTAAATAATTCATGTAGAATTATTGTGGCTGTTACATTGCATAACTAACTCCCACTCTCATCTGTTTTATTAAACTATTTTATTTGACAGATTTCCCCCACATATTATTCAGAATGTCCATTAACTCTGCTCTTTTTATGGCTTTCAACTGCCCTCTTACACATATTTCTTTTTTATATGTTGTGGGTCTATTCATATTGTTTAGTTCTCTAGAATCTGTCATGGTGATTCTTTGAGGAATCCCCTGTGTACACTTCTGTTTTCTAGAGCTTGGACGATCCCAGACTCCTAAACACCTCCCCCCCCAAAAAAAAAAAAGCAGCCAGAGTGGACATTAGCTTTGCTAACTGGGAGATATGGAAGTTGCAGCCAAAAACAAAAATAAAAAACTAACCTTGCCAGGCTCTCCTATCCTAATAGTGGATAACTGAAATGGGGAGATTTGACTAAAATCCTGGTTATAGTATACAAATGGTTGCCCTTTTTCTAGAGTTCCACAATTATGGTAATGGAAAATATATAACAATCTGCCTTATTTGAGTAGCTTTTCTCCTTGGTGTCTTACATTCTTTATGGATGCTGCACTTTTAAACTTTTCCCTCTGAAATGACTGGTAAAGGGGATAGAAGAAATGAACTGCGAGAATTCACCCACAGAGCTAAGGTGTTACTGTGTGGAGTGGGAAAAGTTAATACTTTATTTACTCGAATCTAATGCTCACCTTTTTTTTGGCTAAATTATATTTCCAAAATTGGGGGGGGGGGGCACGTTATATTCGCTTAATATGGTAATCTTAGTGCCGAACCAAAGCCAAAGGGAAGATGCTTCAGGAGCACCTGGAACTCCCATTTGAGGGACCTCATTTCTAATTTAATTGCCATGGCTCAATGCTATACAGGGCTGGGATTTGTAGTTTGATGAGGCATCAGCATTCTTTGGCAGCCCCCATGATCCCAATCTACAGCCCCCATTGACCCTATGGCATTGAGCCATGGCAGTTAAAAAGGATTCATTCTACAGAAATTAGTGTTTAACTCATCGCATAGCTGTCTGCCATATATCTTCATAAATAAAGGGGTGGTTGTACTTCAGCAGTGGTTAAAAGGGGTAGAGATGTTGTTTCTCTTTATGTATGGATGAATAAGCTCCATAATTTTTAGGAACAAGCATGTAGCAGTGTCCTCCTCCTCCTAGGTTGTGTATTTCTTTTCTTTTAGTGGAAAATTATGCTAAAAATAATCCAATTGAATGTAGGTTCCGAACATTGTTTGTAGCTGGTGAACGTTGTGACGTGGATACATTGCAGTGGTGCAAAGAAATCTTCAAGGTGCCTGTTTTGGATCATTGGTGGCAAACTGGTGAGTTCTTTGCGATCAGCATATTCTATCTCACTTGAAGTTTGTTTTTCAGTCTGTCCTATACTATATTGACCATTCTCTTCAGCCCTGCAAAAGGTTTACACCTAACATGTCTTTGTTTAATTAGTTCTAAGGAGCGGTCATAACCCAGTAGTAGAAGTCATGTTTTTCAGGCAGATGATCACATGAACACCACAGATTCATGGTGTATTCAAGTAGGATTGGGAAAGATCATTATCTGAAATGCTAAAGAAGTGTTGCCATGCAGTGGAGATGATAGTAGGCTGACCTAACTAGTTTGGTCTGATTTAATACAATTTATAACATTCTTCACAGTGTGGGTGGTTTGCTTTCTTCTGTAAAGATTTTTGAAATGGAAGGCATGTAAAGAGCTGATATTAACAACATTCTGACTGCATTGTCAGATTTCAGTTTTTAATAATGTTTGTAGTGACTAAATTTGTACTAAGCTGTCAACGTTGTGCCACAATGAGTTAGTTATTCAAAAAAGTGTGTGTATATATACATACGTACAAACGTACACTTATAGAGAAAGCACGAGAGCTATATGTTAACCCATTCATAACTTTCTGATGTTCTCCTCCTGCTCATTGACCCTCATGTTTCATAATTTTGAGACCACATTTTCGAATCCATTCCATCTCAGTTTCCAGTGATGGTTGATGCGAGTTAATCGTGTATCTGGCATTTTTACAGTTTAAGCTCAGTCGCTGTCTTTTGCTTCTGTCCCTGTTAGTATCTTCTCTCTGCAATTACACTGATTGAAGAGAAGGGAATAGTAAAATCGTGTTCAGGCATGATTGTGATCTCAGAATTTCTTTAAGATGCCCTGGAAGAATGACACTGGGAGTGCTTTTAAAATGTCATTTGCATAAGTGAGAGAAGCTGTGACAGCCGCTAGTTTTATAGATTTCTATGAAAATGTTACAAGTTGCTGATGTCATTCATGTTGCCTAGCAACGGGGTTTTTTTTCCTAGTTCAGAGACTAGGGTCCTCATTAGAGGAAAGTAAATGGTTTTACTGATGATTTGAGAATAGGGAACAGAGTTAAGCTCCGTGAGTCTCTTTTATAGAAAGAATAATCCTTTGCAAGATTTAAGGCAGCCATGATGGAGCTTTTGCTGGAGAAAGAGAAAGAAGCAGTTTATAAAACACTAATCCTTGATGCAGATATATGTATTTTGAGAAACTAAAATAGGAACAATCTAATCAGTCTCTTCCATCTTTATAGTATTAGTACGAGGAAGGGTTCTGGAAATGATTAAATTGTAAATGGATAGCAATGAAAGACGCAATTACTGTTTATGTAACATCTATTTGTGTTTATTCTCCATTGTGCATGAGTCATGCATGTTAGTAGAGGAAACAAATAAATTTGTTTGTGGCTTATAAAGCTGGGAAATACATTTGTTTATCATGGGCATTTAAAAGGGTTATAACTGCTATACAGTGCTGGATTCATATTGGCTAGGGTGACGTTTGTTAGAATTAATTTCCAAGGTACATCTTTCCCCCTTTGACATCTTTGGCTTAGGACCAGTATTTATTTATTTATTTATTTATTACTGGCCATCATCATTTTGGGATTCTGGAAATTATAGTATAACCCCTATATTTATGGAGATACTGGAGGGGGGGAGGGTATCGTGGAAACAGTAAACCATGCATAATAGCTAACCCCATTGAAATCCATAACTTTTGCTGAAAGTGACCACATAGTTGCCCTGGAAGATCTAGAGAATTCCCATAGAGGTGTCGTCTGTGCTAACTTCTGGCGAAAGCATTCCATAGAATCATTTGGAGAATCCAGAAAATTCCTAAGTATACAGGCTTACTTAGCTTATTTAATAGATGTATACACAGATTTCACTAATTGATACTTTGAAGTATCCTTCTGGATTAGTTAACCATAAGGAACAGACTCAGTAATCCAGGTAACAGATGTTCCATTGCTTTGCGGTATGAATCAGCTTTGAGTTTGTGTTTGGCTCTCTAATTCTTCCTAATGCTTTGTTCACTTCAACTGTACTCAGACTCCTTCTTTCCCTCCCTCCCTCCTTCCTTCCTTCCTTCCCTCCTTCCTTCCTTCCTTTTAAGTACATTGTTGGGCTGTTGGATCTTATGGGTACAGGAAGACATAGTGTACACAGGGCAATTTAATTCAAAATGGACAACTTGTAGCCTTCTGGGTCATGTTTGGACTTCACTGCCCACCATTCCTCACTATTAGAGATCGTGGCTGATTCTGATGGAAATTGATGCCCTGTGGCAGTGTTCCTCAACCTTCCTCATGCCACGACCCCTTAACCCAGTTCCTCATGTTGTGGTGACCCCCAACCATAACATTATTTTTATTACTACTTCATAACTATCATTTGGCTACTGTTATGAATCGTAATGTCAGTATCTGATATGCAGTGTGTATTTTCATTCACTGGACCAAATTTGGGACAAATACCGATATGCCCAAATTTGAATACTGGTGGGGTTGGGGGATTGATTTTGTCATTTGGGAGTTGTAGTTGCTGGGAGTTATAGCTCACCTACAATCAAAGAGCATTCTGAACTCCATCAATGATGGAATTAAACTAAACTTGGCACACAGAACTCCCAATACCAAAAGAAAATACTGGAAGGGTTTGATGTGCATTGACCTTGAGTTTTGGAGTTGTAGCTCATCTACATCCAGAGTTCACTGTGGACTCAAACAATGATAGATCTGAACCGAACTTGGCACGAATACTCAATATGCCTAAATGTGAACACTGGTGGATTTTTGGGAAAATAGACCTTGGCATTTGGGAGTTGTAGTTGCTGGGATTTATAGTTCACCTACAATCAACAAGCATTCTGAACCATATAAATGATAGAATTGGGCCAAATTTCCCACACAGAACCGCTGGGGAAGATCATCCGGAGTTTCGGGGTACGGTGTCATTTGTACGCGGATGATGTCCAACTCTGTCACTCCTTTCCACCTGCTACTAAGGAGGCTGTCCAGGTCCTGAACCGGTGCTTGGCCGCTGTGACGGTCTGGATGAGGGCGAACAAATTGAAATTGAATCCAGACAAGACAGAGGTACTCCTGGTCAGTCGCAAGGCCGAACAGGGCATAGGGTTACAGCCTGTGTTGGATGGGGTCGCACTCCCCCTGAAGACGCAGGTTCGCAGCTTGGGTGTGACCCTGGACTCATCGCTGAGCCTGGAACCCCAGGTTTCGGCGGTGACCAGGGGAGCATTTGCACAGCTAAAGCTTGTGCGCCAGCTGCGCCCGTACCTTGGGAAGTCTGACTTGGCCACGGTAGTCCACGCTCTGGTTACATCCCGTTTAGACTACTGCAACGCTCTGTACGTGGGGTTGCCTTTGAAGACGGCTCGGAAGCTCCAATTAGTCCAACGTGCGGCAGCCATGATACTAACAGCGGAACGCAGGGAGCATACAACCCCCCTGTTGCGCCAACTCCACTGGCTACCGATCTGCTACCGGGCTCGATTCAAAGTGCTGGCGTTGGCCTTTAAAGCCCTAAACGGTTCCGGCCCAAGCTACCTATCCGACCGCATCTCTGCCTATGAACCCACCAGGACTTTGAGATCTTCCGGGGAGACCCTGCTCTCGATCCCGCCTGCTTCTCAAGCTCGGCTGGCGGGGACAAGAGATAGGGCCTTCTCGGTGGTGGCTCCTCGGCTGTGGAACGCCCTTCCTACGGACATTAGACTAGCACCATCTCTAATGGTATTCCGCAAAAAAGTGAAGACCTGGCTGTTTGAGCAGGCTTTCGAATAATTAGTGCAATGATTGGTTAATGAACACTGGAATGGAACAATGGATGACGAATCTGGAACATGTTTTTGATGACGAGACGACAGTGAATGGGTATTGTAGTAACTGTTTATTAATTGTGTAATGTGTTAGGTTGTTAACTGTTACTATAACTGTTACTATAGCACTGAATTTTTGCTGTTTGTATTTGTTGTGAACCGCTGTGAGTCGCCTTCGGGCTGAGAACAGCGGTATATAAGTAAGGTAAATAAATAAATAAATAAATAAATATGACCAATAGAAAATACTGTGTTTTCTGATAATCTTTGGCGACCCCTCTGCAACCACCTTGCGACCCCCCTCCCCCAGGGTCCCGACCCCCAGGTTGAGAAATGCTGCCCTATGACACTTGATGGGCCACAGTGACTCACCCTGATATAACTTTTGAAGCTGTGAAAATTATATGGATACCTTCACAGATTAAATGAAGATGGAATTGTGTGTTTTTTATACTGGGAATGATGCAGTACAACATGAGTGCTTTTGTGCACTCTGAGTATAGTGGAAATTACAATTGATATAATCTGTCTTTTAAACCTGTGTCAGAGACCCATTTGTGCTTTCTTCTATATACTGTGATGTGAAAGTATTTCACTATACAAAATATTACATTAAGATACTTACATGTACAGTATTAGCAGGACTCCCAATGGAGACATTATTTCCAATAGTTAACAGTATTGTATTCCGGCTAGCCTGTTTCTTTTTAAGTATTTCAGAGCAGCAATCTTCTGTTGTGCAATATATTTATATATTTTGATAGAGTATATGATAAAATGGTTAAATCTACCCAAAAATAAACACCTTTGAGTGTTAGAGACTTCTGGGACCATTGCAAAAGTAGACAGGGTCAAAGCAGTATTAGTTTTACTGTAGGAACTATTCAGGAGTGGCATAGACTACCTCCCTGAGCAGTAGACCTTTTTTAAAAAGTCTTTAAACAGAGGTTGGACAGTCATCTTTCAGAAGTACTGTAGTTGTATATTGTTGTATGGTAAGGTTTATATGACCTTTGTGTCCCTTGTGTCTAATTCTTAAGATTCTATGCTCTTTTATTCTCCCTCTTCTTTTGCTCCTATGTTTCCCCTTATCTGTTTCTTCCCTCGAGTGTCTGGGTAGACAATGAACCCCATAATATTAATTCAAACAGGGCCCCTT